TATATATATATATATATATATATATATATATATATTACATATATTTATATATGAAAAATATTTATCAAAAATGCATGTGGGTACTCAAATGAAAGCTCTTGACGAGTGTAACATCAAAATGAGCTTATATCTTTAAAAATGTCAATAATCAAGAAATGACCTTGTATTTTGTGAACTATCGACAATAAATAAAATTAAATCAATTGAATAAAAGATAAAATAAATACTAACAACACAAATAAGAGGAGTGGTGATAGTCCAGCAGAATTTCCACCATCCAATCGGATAGTACCCAATCATATCTCTGATACCATCGTAGAATCTATTGACTCCAAAAGCCCAGCTAATAGCGATGCACTCGAAGAAAATGAGGAAGAGCAGACAAAAACCAGACACCGCGTAGGAATCAAGGATTTGGAAGACGTACATTCCGCCCTGGGATATGCAAGACAACCCGACTATGTAAGAGATCAGACAGACCACGGCTATGAACAGTTCTTTGCGCCTCCGAAGTAGTTTTGGCCATTCGTCAACCTGCAATCATTATCATCATCATCATCATTAAACCTATTATCATCATCATCATCATCATCAATTACCATTATTAAAATAATAAAATACCATAGCAGTGATGAATCCTTCCATAGTACAAAACTGAGAGTCCAAACCGATCAGCAGAAGCATGAAGAAGAAAAGACAAGACCAGAGCGGGGCTCCAGGCAGCTGGAGAACCGCCGAAGGATAAGCCAGGAAGGCCAGCCCCGGACCAGAAGCTGCCACTTCAGCAACCGGCTTCTGCTGCTCGTGCGCCATGAATCCTACTACCGAAAAAATTACAAACCCGGCGAACATACTCGTTGAGGAATTCACTGTACAGACGATCAGCGCATCCTTGTAGACGTTGTTCGTGAACTTGTTGTAGCTTCCCAAAGCGACCAGCGTTCCCAGACCCAGACCGTATGAGAAGAAAATTTGCGTTACTGCGTCAATCCATACCTTTAATTTTTTTTTTTTAATTAATTTTTAATTTTCTTTAAAAAATATGTAATTTTTAAATATTAATCATTAATTATAGTACCTGAGATTCTTTGAGCTTTGAGAGGTTCGGGCTGATATAGAAGTGTATGCCCTCCATCGCGCCGGGTAGAGTTATTCCTCGGATAAGTAAAATTGTGAGAAGTACGTACGGAAATAAAGCTGTGAAGTAGACGACTTTTCCGGTCCACTTTACCCCTTTCCAGATGCAGAAGTAGCACATTATCCAGACGATTAATAATGTACCGGCCAGCTCCCAACGAACTCCTCCTACATGCTCTATTCCTTCTGAGATTTGCAATGCTCGTCGTCTGATAAAAATTAGATTATTATTATTATTATTATAAAGAAATTTTAATTTAATAATTCCTGATTAGTAAAAATAATTTAAAATTATTGACAAAAATTTTTAATAAAAGAAAAAATAAATAGAATAGGTATGATTTTTTTAAAGAATAAATTATAAAAAGAAATTTCACTCGTAAAAAACTATAAATGCAATTTTTTAAAATAATTAATTTATTTGTCAAAAAAAGTTAAAATATTTTTTAATCAGAAATGAAAAAAAAAAAAAATAAATAAAAATTGTATACTAACTCCCAAAATTCTTTAACAGGATCACTGAGTTCAGAAACAGAAACATTAACACTGTTAACAGAGCACATTTTAACGACACCACTTTTGGAAATTTGGTCCCAACAGTGAAGCGAGCTGCGGTTGTACGGATTGATGCAGTTTTTGGTGTTCCAAACATTGTTACAAGAAGCCCAGGGCAAGACTGTGGTCGTAACGACTTTAATTAAAGTTTATAACACTTATCATTATGATTTTTAACAAAAGTTAATACTTTACCACTCCTCATAGAGACGAAGAAGTAGAAAATGGCCCAGGCGAGGATAACGATGTAGTAAATGTTCATCCAGCAGGACATGACCGCGGCTGCGTACCCGATTCCCTTGAAAATGGGGGCGATTTTGAAGACGCCGAGGCCCCCGATGGTCAGCATTTGGCCCAGCGCCAGCTCCATGAAGAACATGGGAATCCCGGCGAGGAACAGGGTTAAGAAATAGGGGATTAGGAACGCGCCGCCACCGTTTTTGTAACAGAGGTAAGGAAATCGCCACACATTTCCCAGCCCGATGGCCAGTCCGACCTTAAGAATAAATTTTTATTAATTTTTTGTCTTAATAATTTATTAAAAAAAAAAAAAAAAAAAAAAAAAACTTACAACACTGAGAATAAAATCAAGCTTGCTGCTCCAGGAGTCTCTTTCAGGTAAGGGCTTTTTTTTGGGCGCAGTGGAAGCACACATCAGATTCAAAGCTGCGCGAACCTCGTCGATGTTTTCGGCTTCTGCGAGCTCCGGGTCTCTCGAGGTTTCGGCCATTTTTTCTTCTTTACTTTTAATCAATCCGAAATTTTTATTTGCCGAAATTTTACAAGCCGAAATTCCGGCAATTGTTTTATTTTATTATTATTAGTAGACCCTGATAGCACGGGTGTCAACTAAGAGTTGTAAATTGTCACTATAATCTAAAGATTGCGCCAAGTGATTTAAGTATCCTCAAGACATAACACTGGACCTAAAAGATTTAAAATTTTGATAATTGCAGTTGCTTTTAGAATTAAAAAGTTAAGATTGAAATTTTAAAATGAAATATAAAAAAAAAACGATGTCTATGGACAAAAGAGGTCATGCATTGTGCCAATTGTATGGTAAATGTTCCATACACCCGACCCACTTAGATATCACATACGTTAACTTTTTCCTACTATACTGATTGTCACTGTTTAAAGGGTAAGATTAAAATTTTTTAATTACCTCCACTTTTATTTTGTTAAAAAGTTAATTTTGTGTGAAATTGGGAGTGAAATTTATGAAACAGATGTGACTCATGAAGAAGTGAAATTTCTTTGTCAGAAAAGTTGAATTGAAAGTGACATTTAGAAAAATGATCGGAGAAAGATTGATTAGATGCTGGGGGAAAATTACAAAGAAATTAAAACGGAAAAACTTAACAAAGAAGTCCAATTAAATTCTATGGAAACAATTAAAATTTTTCACTAAATTAACAAAAATATAAAATGAATATTTTTAAATTATAAACTTGTAATTTATTAATATTAAAAAAATTGTAATGTCTTTTATAAATTATAAGAATTTTGAAGCTTTTTTTTAATGAAAAAAAAAATTTTGACTATAAGTCCAATTAAAAAAAATATTATTTAAATGAATAAATAATAGTCTTATTAATTGAGTTAATTAAAATAAAATTAAGGGCCCTAATTACCGATAAGAACTCCCTAAAATGAAAATGAGCATTAATAAAGTTTGAAGTAAATTGGGTCGCGATTTGTCTTTTGTGTTTCAATTATACATCCTTGGTGCAAACTATTAAAATTCCTTTTTATCACCGTAGGGGACAATACATCCGATATATTACGCATCATACAATCACTCGCTCACTTACTCACTCACTCGTTCATTCAGTAAGCTCAAGCTACAACTAGTGGAGTACCAGCTCATCATCATACCCATAATAATAATAATAATAATAATAATAATAATAATAATAATAATAATAATAATAATAATTTTACTAACATTAATAATAATAATAATAATAATAATAATAATAATATACTAACAACTATAGTGCAGAAGATATTAGTAAGCTAATTTTTTATCAGGAGGACGTTAAATACGTATGTCCGGCGGGGGTTCTGCTTCTGCCTAATAAATTTACTGTCATCGTAAAGCATAAAACCACCTAATATAATTTACATGTGTGTTAGGGCACATACATACCTAGAACAACACTTTTTACCCCTTCTTTTCATTCTCATTCTCATTCTAATTCTGATTCTAATTTTAATATTACACTTGAATTGTTCCAGCCGTATGACTATTTTTTTTTTATTCTCAACATTATCAACTGCTAAATTATCATTATTATTATTATTATTATTATTATTATTATTATTACTACTTTGATCAATTTTACTCCCGCGCAATTTCAATTTCTTCCCAATCAATCACAGAGATGATGAAAAAAAATTTTTGGACCCTCGGGGAGTTTAAAATTAAAAACTAAAAAGAATGTTACTTAAAATATAATTACCCTTTTATTCGTGTATTATCCTTGACGCACAAACGGTTAAATATAAATGTAAGCACGGATAGAGTTTAGATGTAATAAATATTTATTTAAATAAAATGATATTGAAACGAAACAAGCACTGGATACGAAGGAATTACCTCATTCACACACGAGGAAGAACTCGCGATCGAGTCGTGGTCGCGGTGGCGGCGTCTGCACGACTGACAACCTCACTCGGGCGAACTGGGATCAGACAGAGACTATCATGTGATAACTGATTGATAATAAATCTCTGAATGAAAAAAACTAAATAGTAAAAGAGACCAAGAGCTTTAGTGCAGAAGCTACACCGGTCTCGATTGTCACGATTATAAAAGTGTTACCCGTTACCTCACTGTCAGCACCGACTGCTAAATGAGGGAGAACCAGCTCAAGAGTGGGGAGAACCCTCTGCTCGCTCCTTTATAGAACCACAGCCTCTTTGGTCTATGATCCCGAAGATTTTTCTCTTTTTTTATATTTATTTTATTCTACCTATATATCAAATCGGAGTTTATTCATTTTTCAAAATTTTTCAGAGTCAAAATATTTATTTTTCACTTCGCTGAATTTGATAGAAACTCTGATCGATTTTTGAAAAAAATTTATTATGATAAGTATCTGAGTTGTATTCAAAAATACTTTATCTCTAGATACATAATTAAGAAATGACCTTGTATCTCGTGAACTATTGACTTTTTTAAAAATATAAGCTCATCCCTATGTTACACTCATCGAGATCTTTCATTTGAGTACACACATCAATTTTTCATATATTTTATATATTTATATATGAAAAATATAACAAAAATGCATGTGGGTACTCAAATGAAAGCTCTTGATGAGTGTAACATCGGAATGAGCTTATGTCTTCAAAAATGTCAATAGTTAAGAAAGTACAGTGCAATTTAACAAAAGTCATTATTTAATAAAGCAAAATTTTATGCTAGTAAATTTTATTTTTCAGTAAAAAAATTAAAATAAAAAATTGGAAAAATACTTCCGAAATAAATTATTAATATTTTAATTTAAAAAAAATAAATCGAATGTCTTTCTTCGATCTGGTATCGGCAAAGTTCTTTATTCTTTGTTTCTTTCTTCTATCTCTGCAGCTGGATTTGTCAGTTGCAATGTAAAGCACAATAAGGTGAATAGAAGAAAGAAAATTGGGAATAAAATTTTTCAGTTACTCTTATTGAGGACAAAGAAAAAGGATACAGTTTGATATATTTTGAGGGGAAAAATGTGTTTGTTGGTAGTTGTGACGGTGAATAAAATCCTGGTATGGGTGTTTAGTTTATTTAATCGGGGAGGAGCGAGAGTGGGGACCCCAAGATGACAAACCGTATATCATAATCAACGGTATATCATTATCAACGTTGACAACGTTCAGTAGCAGTAGGTTGTAGGTTGTAGGTTGTATAATGTTTGCACTGTTTGCTCGTGATCACCACCTCTCTGTGTATCACACTATTATAGGCTTCTTCTAGCTTCCTATAGGATTAGATACATCCTCTGTATTCTATCCTCTATATCTATATCCGTCGTACTATTTTTTATGACACTCGACACTGGCTTATTTCGGATCTAATGTAATTTCTGTGTACATCCGCCGGAAAATAATCGAATGTTCATATTCAGTTTAGGCCTATTAGGCTAGACTGCTTACACACTTGACCGTTGGCTACCACTTTTTGTTTTATTTATAGTTCTTTGATTATGTTCTCTACTGGATAAATTGTTTTTTTACCCTTGAATTATTTCTTTTTTCCCCACCATATTTTCATGGGATAATTTTGGAATCTAAATAAATTATTTTTTAAGTATTCAAATTTAATTTTACATTAAAATATTAAATTATTCTCATTAAATAAAAAGAAATATTTTTTAAAAATTAATAAATTATTTTTGTAAAGGTGTAAAAATTTTTAACTACAAATTTAAATTTACTTTTTATTTAGAAATTTAAATTAATAAAAAATTGATTTTCTAGAATGTTTTTTTACAAAATTAAAAAAAAATTGTACTCATAATTTTTTTTTTTTAAACTTCTACATCTAGAATTAAAAAAAAAAAAAATTATTTAAAAAGATTATTGTGGGCTTAAGAATTTTTTTTTGATGAAGTTATTTAAAAATTTAAGCAATTTTTTTGTTTTTATTTTCCCAGAATATTGAAATAAAAAAACCCGAGACTGATTATCATTATTAATATGGCAAAGGAAGATTATAGATAGTATAGATAGTAAAAGGTAGGTGGGCGATTTCGATGGTAAAGCCAAGAATAAATTATTTTTTGGTATGTTTAATCTGAACGTAAAATCCAAAGGCAGAAGCCCAAAGCCCAAAGCCCAGAGCCCAGGGATCGGGATGATAAAGTAGGTGAGCAAGCCTAGGAAGCTGGTATATCCGGAGGGTTCACGTGACACCGATCAGTCCCCGCATCCGTTCTGGCGGTTCCAAGTGTCGTGGATGCTGCAGGGGCTGTGGCAATACTGTTCTACTAACACAGAGCTTACAATGAAAGCTTTCAGCGGTTTTTTTAAGCTTTTTTTGTTTTACATTTCCCGAGAGCTGGAGCCCAGAGCTGAGAACAAGAGAACAAGAGCAAAGATAAAAAACAAGAGAGAAGAGAAGATTCCAAAGGAGCAAGGCGTGTTGTAATTTTTCCTTTGTTTCCTCCTCTCCTATTACTTTTTATTTTTATTTTTAATTCATCATTTGTCAGGGTTATCAGCTTTTACTCGCTTTTAATTTTTTTTCGCAAAACTAGTTACTCATTCAATCATAAATAATAATAAACTATTTTAATTCTAATTGTATTATACGCTATGATTTTATGCCGGTTAAATTAATTAACCAATTACTCAATTGTAAGATCATTAATTTGTTTTTACGCTGACAGTATTTGTGACCAGTCATACGATTATTTTATTAGAGAAGATTAGGAATTAAATTAACATGATTATAAATAATAATAGTGGTAATTATAATGTGAACGGGTGCACCGTGATAATGTGCATTGACCAGTGGTAATATTATCAAAATAGGAGTGGGCAAATAAAATAAACGATAGGATGGCGTATTATGCTATGCGGGTTGCTCGTTTGCCTGGTAGGTATTGAAACAATGTTTTATTTTATACATTATTATGTATTATGTGTTTGTATTATATGTTGCATACAGTGCGGAGCATGCTGCGTAGTAGGGGAGAGGATAATACTAAACGATAATGTATATAAGAGTTTAAGAGTATGCAGAGGATGTGTGGGAAGTGGCGCGGGAACTATGGTCACCATCGTCACCATCCACCAATCTTATTCATATCACAGAATCAGTATCCGGGGATTCTGGTTCCGGAAAGTCTCATTCAGATTTTATCCGTTGATTTTTAGTTTTTTATCAAAAGTTTTTTACTCACATTATTTAATTTTTATATTGATTTTTTTTAAAGACATTATAATCTTTTTTTATTGATAAAAAATTCATTTAAAAAAAAAATTTTCAGCCAAGAATATTATTTTAATTTAAAAAACAATTTATTTGGATCAAAAATTTTTTTACTTGATAAAATTTTTAACAATTGTTTCTTTTTAAATAAAATTTTTTTTTTTCTATTAAATTGATTTTTTTTATTTTGGAAAAAATTATTTATGATTTAAAAAAAAAAACTGAAAAATTTATTAATTTTAATATTTTTATGGATTATAAAATGAAATATATTAATTTTTTATAAAAATTAAAGAAAAATTTAATTTTTATAAATTATAAATCTGTTAATAATAAATTATTTACTTTATTTAATTAAAATTATGAATTTTTTGTTGGAAAAAATTTTATCTAAAATAATTTGAATAAAAAATTAAAAATCTACTGTATTATTATTAATCGTGACCAATAACTTTTGCGAAATAATCTCTTAACATTGGTCCATTGGATAGAAATCTATCTGACTGGCTGCTGCAAAGCCTCTTTCCCCGAAAAAGACCGCACCGGCGTGGAAGAATCCGCCGAAAAATATTCGGGAGAGAGAAGAGACGAAATTGTACCAAAAAAGGAGTAGAGTACAGTCCAAGGATCTATAAGATCTAAACAAACTGGCCTCGCAGGCTCCTGTGTGCTATAATACCTGCAGAACACCCACATACATACACTCGAGCTTGTACTTATTCTAATAGTCCCGACTATACAGCCCAGTACACAGTTAGTTCAGTTAAACATAACACATAAACAATTTTAGTAGCCGTAAATTTTATTACCTCAGTCATGGCTATTTCAAAAGTCATGCTTTATTTTTATACTCATTTTTAATAAATTTATTTGCAATTATTTTAAGTTATAACAACCATTTTGATTTATACAAAAATAGACCGCAAGTATTTTTCTATTTATAATCAAATCTTTTTTAGTTACTTAAAATAAATCAGTGCAATTAATTTATTTAATATATAATAATGGAAATTTGGTGGTTTTCGCGAGTTGTTGCTCATCATCCTTATGCAATATTATCAGCGGTGTTTGTCCTGTCATCGACATGCCTAATAGTTCCTTTGGCTACTAATAAATTTCCAGATTTTACCGATCCAAAAATGGTAAATTTTTTCAATTTATTTTATTAGTAAATATTTAGGTAATTGTTTTTATTTTTTTGACAGGGATTTGAAGCACGTGGGACAGCAGTTGCTCAGAGATTGACTGCTTGGATGAACTTGGAAAAAGCAACTGGTGCTCGAGGACAACTTATTGACAATCCCGTTGAATATTATAATTATTTATTGCAATCAATTAAACAGGTAATTTTTTCAATTAATTTTAGAATTATCTTCAGAAATAATTTAATCATTAAAATTAATATTTTAAATTTTTGGAGTAAAAAAAATTTTAATATTTATTATTTACATTAAAATTATTTTAATAATTATATTTTATAATTTATAATTAATAAATAAAAATTTTTTAAACAAAAATAAATTTTTTTATCAGAATACAACAGATTCTTTCAACGGAACAAGAACAATCCCCGGAATAATCAGAAAAAAGCCAAAAAATAAATCCAAAAAGAAAAAATACAACAAACTCTCCAACGAAACAGCAATAAATGACGGTAAGGACCAATGGGACGAGCTACTAAAGCTGAAAAACAACAAAAACCGACCGGAGCACATCCACGAAGTAGAACTCAACACCCAGGAGGAGTTTTTCTGCCACCTGCCGAATTCCTTGTACGCGAGAGTAGTAATCGGCTCGGACAACAAGGACAAGAACCTCTGGTCCCTCGAGGGAGTTTTGGCGCAGTGTCACATCGATGCTATGCTCCGAGCTAACCCCAAGTTTCCTTATCTTTGCGAAAAGCCCGCAGATCATGGCTCAGACAGCGAGAAATGCTGCAGGAGCTGGTCGCCGGCTAACTACGTAGCTTTTCTGTCGAACCGCACTTCTTGTCTAGGTGTAACTGAAGCTGATTTAGCCAGAGTCGAGACTCTGCTGAAGAGATGTGCTTATTATTACCGGAACCATCATTTGACGGCTGATTGCTCGGAAGACTTTAATTGTCAAAAGCAAGTTCCTGCTGAGTGCTATAAACACAATAACGCGCCCTATCATCTGCTTCATTATTTGCTGGACGCTGATTTTATGTCACCAGATGTAAGTTTATTTAATAAATTTAATTTATTGTAATAAGTATTCAGGTTGCATTAATAAATTCTCTAGATGCATAATTAAAAAATGACCTTATATCTTGAGAACTATTGACATTTTTAAAGATATAAGCTCAACCCGATGTTACACTCATCAAGACCTTTCATTTGAGTACCCACATCAATTTTTCATATATTTCATATATATTTATATATTTATAAATATGTATATATATGAAAAATATATAAAAAATGCATGTGGGTACTCAAATGAAAGCTTTTGATGAGTGTAACGTCAAAATGAGCTTATATCTTTAAAAATGTCAATTATTAAAAAATGACCTTGTATCTTGTGAACTATTGAAATTTTTAAAGATATAAGCTCATCTTGATGTTACATTCATTGAGGCCTTTCATTTGAGTACCCACATCAATTTTTCATATATTTTTATATTCATATATATTATATATATATGTATATATGAAAAATATATGAAAAATGCATGTGGGTACTCAAATGAAAGGTCTCGATGAGTGTAACATCGGGATGACTTTATATCATTAAAAATGTCATTATTTATAATAAAACAAAATTTTATTTATTTATAGTTCACAAATCACGGCAGTCACATAGTGACTGCAAGTTTGCTAGTTATTATTATTTCAAAAATTTCAAAGCAAAAAAAATGTAATAAGTTAGTAAAATTAAATTTTTCAATAACAATAATAATAAAATTATCAATGTAGGTGATTAAAAACAACTCAAACGCAACCCTAGAAGTTGCAATGTTATTTCTGCCGATGGCTGCCAGCGCAAAGTCATTGAATTTCTACAAAAACATTGCGATAGACGGACTAGAATACGGAAGTTTCCGGGTGGTGGGAATGGAGCTGGGTCTGAAAGACACTTTGTTCGACCGTCTTCTTGTTTCAGACTCCTCCTTTCTGTTATCTGGGTTCGCATTTGTCACCTTTTGCATCTGGGCTTACACAAGCTCAATTATTCTCACGGTATCGGCGATACTCGCGGTTATTTTTAGCCTGGGAATCTCATACGCTATTTATACTCTGGTCATCAGAATCAATTTCTTTCCTTTTATGAATTTATTGGCAATTGTCGTCGCTGTTGGTGAGATTTTATTATTATCTACGTTTTATTATTAGCTCTTACAATATAAATTTATATTCAAATTTTTTTTTCTCCAAATAGGAATTGGTGCGGATGACGCATTTATATTTTGCAAAATATGGGAAGAAAACAAGCAGGAAAAAATATCCATCGGCGGAATGACAAAGTTAGTACAGAAAACTTTGGTCCATGCTGTTCCATCGATGTTGGTAACATCATTAACAACGGCTGTTGCCTTTTTCGCGTCAATTGTCAGCAATGTCACCGCTATCAACTGTTTCAGGTGATCATCACTTTTAATTTCACAATAATAAATTAAATACAAATTTTACTAATCAAAAATAAACAGTTTGTTTTCAGGCATGACTGTGATAGCAAATTTCTTCCTAATGGTAACATGGTTACCTGCCAGTGTCGTCGTATCCGAGCACTGTCGCTTTGTAATTTTATCACCAGCGAATTTCATGGTGCGAAAAATAATTCGCCCGTTAAAAATTACCATGGGAAAAGTCTCAGTGGGTTTCAGCCACACTCTAACAAAAATAGTAATTGGATTAAGATGGCTTTGGTTGCCAATATTAGGAGCAGCCGCACTGGCTGGAGGAATGGTTGTCTTCAATTATCCAGGATTACGCTTACCAGACTCGCCAAATTTCCAGTTATTCGACAGCTCGCATCAGTTTGAGCGATATGATCTTCTTTACAAGCGAAAATTTTGGTTTGAAAAATTAGAAATGGTAATTATAAACCCTCTCTTCAAAATTTCACAATTTATAAATACATTTATGAAATCAAAATAATATCAATAGAAAAGAATTGCACAAAATTACAATTTCCATAACAAAAATTGTTATACAGTAATCTCAAAAACATAGATAAGACCAAAAGTTTCTAACAAATTTCCAAATTTTTCTTCTTAGAACTTCCTTAGATACATTCAGTATTTTTAATTCATTAAGTACACTAAAAAAAAATTCTTGAATGAAGTCAAAGTTTCTTAAGTCAAGAAAATTTCTCCTTGTTCCAAAATAATTTTAGTCTTGCTTAAAATTTTTTTGATGCAGGAATTTAATTTTTAAATTATTAAGTAGTTTATTACAATATTTAATAGTTATATAGTAGCCAATTTTAATCAAAATTAATTTTTAGGACGGCGGTGAAGGTCTATTGCCCCTCCGTTTCGTCTGGGGAATAAAACCAGTTGACAACGGAAACTACCTAGACCCGACATCTCGAGGAGAACTCGAGTTCGACGAGACTTTCGACATATCTGACCAAAAGTCCCAAGTGTGGTTACGAAAATTCTGCCACAATTTACGAGCCCAGCCGTTTTACCACGACACGCAGGGCCCGTTGTTGTCAAACTGCTTCATCGAGTCCTTCAGCACCTGGATGACACGTCGGTGCGAGGACCCAGGGGACCCTCAGCTCAGCAGAGCGCCTTGCTGCGACGTAAATTCTTACCCTTACAAGCCCCAGGTGCTTCGTCGCTGCGTCGCTGAAGCAAGCGCGGATTTATACAGAACTCCTCACCACCTCTGGACTCGCGAGGGGGCTGTCGCCGGAGGGATCAAGTATTTAAAGGACTCCGTCAAGCCTACTTATCTCTTCAACAATAATAATAATAATAACAACACTAATAATAATAATAATAATAATAATTATAATTATAATAAAAACATGCCAGTGCCGAAAATAATGGTGCTGATAGTTGAATACGACAGTACGTACTCCTACAGCCTATCATTCGCAGAAATGAACGAGTTTTACAACAAAGTCGAGACGTGGATGCAGCAGCAACTGACGACAGCGCCCCGAGGCATGAAGAACGGCTGGTTCGTCAGTTATCTGGAGTTTTATGAGCTCCAGAGGACTTTGTACGAAGGAACCATCTGGGCAATGGTAGTTTCGATGATCCTCGCGCTGATTGTCTTGGCGCTAGTGACGCTCAACCCGTTGGTCAGCCTGTACGCCATTTTGACGATCGGCGGCGCCATTTTGTCGACAGTCGCCGCGTTGGTGCTTCTAGGCTGGAGATTGAATGTTTTAGAAAGCGTGACGGTGTCGACGGCGATAGGGCTTGCGGTGGACTTTAGTTTGCACTACAGCGTGAGTTACCGCGCGTGTAAATCTGAAAAAAGGGTCGACCGGGTGAAGAGGGTCCTGGAGCAAATGGGAGGACCCACTCTGATGGCCGCGGCCACCAGCGGAGTCTCTGGGGCGCTGATGCTGCCTTCCCACGTACTCGCTTATATCCAAATCGCGATTTTTATGCTCCTAATTATGGGCGTAAGTTGGTTATACGCGACTTTCTTCCTCTGTCCGCTCCTGGCTGTGATAGGACCCTCCCCGGAGTTCGCGCAGTTTCATTATACTAGGCTCAGGAGGCTCTTGTCTGGATTTTGCGGGGAAGATGAACAGGAGAGGAAGGAAGACACTAGTGATAGTGCTGGAAATAGCTGTAGAAGTGGGAAAGGCGAGTGGAGAAGAAAGAACAAGTCTGGGTGCATGTTATCTGAGTCTAATTTAAGTACTTCCAGTACTGTTTGTCAGTTGCACTGTCCAGAGGTTGAGATTCGTCTTCACGGGTCGGAGTCTTTACCCTCACCCTCTTCCCCCTTGTTATATCTCGATCCCAATCAGACTGATTCTATCAATGTTAATGTTAGACGTAAGTGAATTTCTATTTTAATTAAATGCTCAGGATTTTTTTATTTATTTTAAAATATATTATTATTATTATTATTATTATTATTATTAATCGGGTTAAATTTTTATTACCGAGAAAATATTGGTCGTATTAATTAAATTTTTAGAAATTAAAGTTTATAAAAATTTTATTTTATTTAAGAAAATTTATTATTTTTTATTAAGACCAATTGGTCTTAAAAAAAAATTGTAAGATAAATTTTTTTTATAAAATTAAATTGTTAAAAACTTTTTTTTTAAATTAATATTTTTAATGATATTATAATTGTAATTGTAATCTGATGGTTGTGTTTTTAGTATTGAACTTTAGTCTACTGACTTGGTGCTACTTTTTAATTTTTCTACATGGGTATTTATTTATTTCAAAGTGAAATTTATTAGTTTGAAGAAAAGTTTTATTAATTAATAGGCGAACTATTTTTAACACTTGAACTTTTCTTCAATAAATTCCATTATTAAAGTATTATTTTGATAAAAAGTTGACTTAATATTAAGACTCAATAAATGATTATTTTTGAAACAATTGTGTTTGTTAAGATAAATAATTATATAAATGTTTATATATAAAAAGGCTGTAACAATTGTGATTATGAATTTATAATGACAATTAACTGTAATTACTATTAAGATAAATTAATTATTAGTGTTATGTGGGATTGATTAAAATATGAATCAGTATTTAATCATGCAAGAAAAAATGTATCATTTATTGTTACAGAACTGTGAAAAAAAAATATTCCATAAGAAAATAATTGTACGTTATGTATGTTATTATAATTGTTCACAAATATTATAATATTATAAAATAATGATGTTCGATATATTGAATATTGTATAAACAGTACCTTGACTTAAATTAAATTAAATACAATTGCCTGATGTACTTAATTCTTTTCTAATTTATTATTCTATTTATAATAGCTAAGTAACTTAATTAATTAATTAATAATCGTGCATAATCACTGCACTGTCATAAGGAATTAATCTAAAAAAAATGCCTATTTTTTTGATAAAAAATTTTTTATCTATCGAGAATTCTTCGAGGTACCTAGACGAGGACGTTTGCTGATAAGAGGAACTGTTGGGTCAGCAAGAGGTCGCTTAAATGGTACAGACACCTTGACGTCAGGGTACTTTGGCATCGGGCGGGCTTTGAACGTCGCCATTTGACGTAAGCGAGCTATTTCGTCCTTTTCTTTTTCTTTCTGGGAATCAGATAACTATTTTTTTGTTTAATTAATTAAATTATTAATTCAGCTTCTTAAAAAAAAAAAAAAAAAAAAAAAAAAAAAAAAAAATACTTACCGTTCTTCTCAAATCTTCAAATTCAAGCTCACGGAGTCGCAATTTTTCTTCATACAATTTTCGCTCTTCAGCTCGTTTAGCTGTACGTAATTTTGGAGATTTTGGTACCAAAATTCTGCGCTTTGGAAGATTTACTTGGAAAGGTTTTTGATTCCACACCTAAGTCAAAAAATTTAATAAAAAAATAAAATTTACAAAATTATTTTGCACATTTTTGTACAAAAAATTTTTTTAAATATTAATTAAATTTCGTCTATTAAAAAAAAGAAGACTAATGATTTTATGAACAGTTAATTAATCTTTATGACTAATTAATTAATATCTTTATTAACTTAGAAGTTGTAAAAAAAACTATTAAATATAATTTAATTAATCAACGGTTCAATGACACTGAAGAACTAATATTCATTTTTATCTTTCAGCAATTAATCCATAAAAAAAAGATCGAAAGTCAATCACTAGTCTTCTTTCTACATTTTTTAAACCAAAAATAAATACCTCAACCTTCTTCTTCTCAGCCTCGGCACAGTTCTTATTCTTCGCTTGAGAAGCCAGATAATTATTCAACTCATCAGAATTACAAGTAACACTTTTATCAGCTGTTGCAACAGGATAAAACTGTATTGGAGATATAGCTTCTTCTTTGATAGTTCCTCTGCAAACCGGCTTAATCTCATGGATGACTTTAACTTCCTTCTTTGGAATAAAGTCCTGGAGGATTCGCTTTTCTTCTTTCTTAATCTGCTTGACAGGATTTTTCGGGACATTTTTAAACTTCGGCGCTGCTCGAGCTTTGAATTCTGGTGGCTGCTGGCTTACGCTCATCTAAAATTTTTTTATAATAATTTTTATTAATTAATCTACTAGAATAATAAATTATTGACAGTAAAATAAATTTTTTATACCTGATATTGCTTTTTGGCTTGTCTGCGCTCTTGTTTTTCTTTTTCACGCGTTTCAAAACTAAATGGCTGGGGTGCCGTTGATAATCGTGATAATCTTCGATCGACATTAGGTGTAGTGCAATTAATTATACTTTGCTATATTAATAATAATTAAAAATAAAATTTAATTAAAAATTAAAATTTTTGGGACTTTTAATTTTTTTTACACCTCAAATTTATTTACTTAATTTTTAATAATAATAATAATAATAATTGAAAAAATTTATTATTATTATTGCAAAAATTTTAAAACAAAAAAGTTTTAATAATTTATTGAAATTAAATTTTTTAATAATAGTGATGATAATAATGATAATAAATATTAAGTTACCTCAAATACAGTAGTATCAGCTTTAAGCGTAATATCTTCCTCGCCGATATCCGATCCCAAAGAAATATTTTCTAATGTACTAAAAAAAAAATTAATTATTCAATTAATTAATTTCAAATTTTTTTAAATAAACAATTTTAAATGAAAATAGAAGTTAATATTAATAAATAAAAACACTTACTTAATAATACCATTATCAATTTGCATAGCCTCTTCTTCTTTCACTGGAGTCGGGCAAATCGACTGGCGTCCATCTTGAAAAAAATCAAAAATTATCAACGAAATAAATTTCGTTGAAAATTTTTCCAATAATTTATATAATTTAGAAAGTACTTACCAAAAAATGAATCACGTGGCTCAGGAATTTCATTTGCGAAATCAACAAACTTTGGGCCATTAATTTTCTCCCAGTAATTATTAAAAAACACTCCACTATTACAATTATTATTAGTACCCGCATTATTATTATTATTATTATTATTATTATTATTTGGATCATTAGTTATAACAAACAATCTCTTAGTATTTATTTGATACTCGGTATTTGGATGAACACGCGATGAATGTTCTTTGGGAAAAACAAGCGGCGTGCTTGTGCGGAAATCCATTTTTAAAATAATTTCAACCAATTTTCGAGTTGAGTATGAAACGATAAACGCACTGACAACGAAACTAAAGTCCAGTATTGTCGCAATAGCAATAATAACAATGATAATGCCTGAAGAAATTAGTGGAAGGCAAAGAATAGAGACGTGTTAGTTGCCGGTAATCCGAAGAATTATTTCAAAAGTATTTAGCGCGACTATTGTACGTATTACTGAACTATACCTGTCGGCGCTTGAGCATGTGTGGTGTGTGTAAGTACACATGCAGGTGTTGTATGTGTGAATTCCATGGCAACAATTACCAAAACAAACATCTGATGTATTTTATTTGTTGACAACTTGTAGAGTTGAATTAAAATTAATTTTTTCTCAAAATGTTTGATTTAAAAATATGTTTTAGAGTTAAAATTTTCATGTTTAATTAATAATTAATAAAATTGTTTAAAGTGAAATTTTTTGCAAAAATGGAGCGAGCTATCAGCTCAAAATTGAGCAGCAGCAGGTGGCTAGAAGCAGTCTGGGAACCTAGTGCTAAGTTAAATGTACTTCCTGGGGGTCTTGAGATGATGGATGTCGCTGGAGATGGCGAAGCTAGGCTTATTGCAATTGATCTGGGCGATGAATTAAAAGATTCTGCTAAAGTGAATATTTTACTATTTTTTCAGTGCTATATTTTCAATAAAAAAAAAAAAAAACTATAAAAATTATCAGATATCGGCTAATTTAATTTTAATACTTATTATTTTAGGTACGAGTTTTCAAAGAAAGTTTTCAAGTACAAGAGTACACAATGTTACACCCCCCTTGTGGAGTAGTAGGATTTTACACAGAAAATAATGATCCAAAATCGGCAGTAGTAGCAGTTGCGTCTTGTACCGATATATTTTTTTATAAAAATATGAAACCTCATTTTAAATCCCGTCTACCTTTTTTGGACGCGCATCCTAAAGAGAAAGAAGTGAGTTTAATAAAATTATTAAAATTTACTGTGATAATTTTCAATTTTTTACTTTATTATTGACAGATTTGGCACAAAGCTGGAGTTGAGCAAGAATTGAACGTAAAAATGTTGTACGAAGATCTCGATTTACTTTTAAAAGAACTCGGCGCAGCTTTTATAACTCCCAGAACCTTAAAATTCTTATCACTGGACGAAAACTTGCGCTTAGAGTTCGCGGATTTGTACAGAAGCGTTCCTCTGAACCGACCAGACTGCGCGACCACGATTGGAACCATCAGAAAGGATTCTTGGAACGATCCGGCGAGCAGTTGTTTGGTTGTCGGTACAGAGGAAGGATATCTTTTAATTATGGATCCAAGGTAGCTTAAAAGAATTTCCTGAAGAAGATTAATTAATAAATTTCAATTCTAACAATTTTACAGGTCGTTTCACGTGATAGAAAAGTTCCAACTAGATTGGGCGCCAGTGACGACAGCCAGCGTGGGCTTATGGTCTGGCGAGGGCCAAATTTTCGTAACCGGAAGGGAAATGGAGCTCGGCTCGATAAAAAAAGGCTGCGGGACGATAAAACTTTGGGATGATTTGCCGAACCCGGCCGTCGCTATGAGCATTTTACCCGGCGATGGTCTAGCAGTAGTGATTATGAGCGGAATTGTTATTGGATTCACGGGTAAAGGGCAGCGGATCTGGGATATTGAACTACCTGGGTTAGCCCTTGATATGATAAGCATCCCCGTTCCTCAGTCGGGATTGTCGCTGATTGCTGTTAGCGTTCCTAAGGTTGGAGTTGTCATTTATGATTCGCAACATCATGTTGATACTATAACAACTTTTGAACCTATCTCTGCAATGAAGGTGAGATTTTGATCAATTATGAGTAAGAATTATCATTTTTTAATGTACCTGCGAGTTATACAGCCTAGTTAAGGATTATTTTTATAAATTTTCATGTTAATTTTTATTTTATGATATTTTTGATGGAATATTAATAGAAAATTATAATTCTTATTATAAAAAAAAATATCATTTTGTTTTTAATATTTTAAAGAAAATATATTTGAAAATTTTTTAAAGAAAAATCACTTAAGAAAATATTAAAGAAAATTTACTTGAGTAATAATTAATATAAAAATTTATTTATTAAATTGGACATTTTTAATTAAATTTAAAAAATTCCTCAGCTAAGCCTTATTGCGTGCCAGTAGCTGAGTTTCAATTTTGACCTTAAAAATTTAATTTTTTTTAGTTTGGCAGAATGGGACAAGAAGAACGCGCACTAGCAATGGTAACAGTAAACGGAGGATTGTGTGTAAAAATCCTAAAACGAACTGCTAATTTCAGTACAAGGCTAGGATCATCATCATCTTCAACCAGCGCTTCGGAGAATATAAACCCGGGGTCTAAATTTTCAATTCCCAAAAAAACGAGACTGTTTGTCGAGCAAATGATGCGAGAAAGACAAGAAGCCAAGAAAATTTACCAAAGTTTTGAGCAGAGTTTTCTGAGACTCCAGCTAATGGTCGAGAAGCGAGCTCACGAAGTTATTTTTTCAAATCCCGACGCGATCAACAATCCAATTACCATGGAGATCAGCGTTCTAGGACTAGGACCTACTTATGTACTTCGAACTCTGGTGGCAAGCATGGCCGAGGACAAAAACGAGCCGGCCTTGTTTTTGGTTTTCCGAGCAAGTGAAGCAGTCATCAAGCCTCGGGTTGTGGACTTGCCACTGCTTACTCCGGGAATTCAAATGCCCGTGATGGTAAAGGCTACCCCCAAAAGTGCTGTTTCCGAAAAAGTAAGAGTACTTTTGTGCAAAAAAGGAAACATGCAGCCAATAACTAGCGCAATTGTGATGATTCCTATCGCAGAGCCTGATATTGAAGTGTAATTTTGTTCGGAGAAAAAATTGTAAATTTATTTTTAAAAGTGTTAAAGTGATTTTTTTAATAAAAAATTTATCGATATTAATCTATAGTTCTTTCTTAGTGACCGCTAAAAAGATTTGTCAAGGTTAATTACTTTATATTAATTACATTTTTTGTATCAAAGATAAGATACAGTCGATGAAGAATTTTGTTTTATTTTTAATTGATTATTATCAATTATTAAATTTAAATAAGAAAATTTTAATTACGAGGAATAATTTTTTTTCGATAAAATAAACCAAATTTTAGATTAAAAAAAAATCTATTGTCAAATTTGGCGAGTTTTAATTTATTTAGCGAAAAAAAAAAAAACTTCTTGATAAGACTGTTATACTTATTATCTATCGTGGTCATAAAAATCTCATAAAAAACATTATTGTTATATTTTAATGTCGTTAACATGCTATTAAATATTTTATAAAGGAAGATAAATTTTTTTTCTAGACCATTATCCGTCAAAGTAATTTGTCCCACGGTAGTAAGTAGTTTTAATTAGAATTTCATTCGGCGCACTACTTTTTTCTAAGTAAGTAAGTTAAAAAACTTTTTTGAGCATTCTCGTTAATAAATCATACGAATAATTGATTATTTTATTAATACGGCTAGTAAACGATTTTATTGTTAAAATTTTAGATTTTTTTTAATTTTCACAAAATGAAAATCTCGAAAATCTTTTTGTTGTTTGTCATGTTTGGGCTCCTATCAGCCGTAACGGGTTATATAGTCAACACTGCGAGGGATTGTATCAAGGAAGGTTTTGTAAGTACTTTTAGTAAAATAGATAAAAAAAAACTCCAATGTTAATTGTGAATAATTGATAATTTATTTTGATTTTAGTGTCACGATCCTGAACAATGCTGCTCAAAAAGATGCACAGTTTCCACATATGCTTGGAGTGATAAACCACCTTCATGTGTGAAACCTATTGAAAAATTCTGATTATACTGGTATAAAAAAAAATATTTAAATAAATTGTATGGGTTCATTTGTTCAAATTAAATACATAATTAATTTAAAAATTAATTTTCAATCTATGATTCAGATTTTTAAATAAGTCAGTAAAATTAAAACTGGGAATTTTTATTAATTGAATCCATTTATTTAATTTTTTTGTTAATAAAATTTTAATAAAATAAATTTACTGTAAAGTGAAAAGTTAAATGTGCAACAATTAAATTTACTTAAAAATTTGAATAAAATAACATATTAGAGATTTATTTTATTGAAAATAAAAATTGTGAGAAAATCTTCATGACCGATAGTCAGTATTTGTGCGACATTATCGAGTAAAAGTAAATGTAATGATAATTGATAATGAAGGTAATTTTAACAACGTATATTGACAAGAATTTAAATTTACATGGTTTAAGTTACAAATTGAATTTAATCATACCTGATCGTCGACACACATTCACACTGTATAATTTTATTGTATGCCTTAAGCGCGAAGCGCGCAGGTATGCTCTACTCTCGCCTAAAAATCGTGATTTCGATTAAAACGTGATTTTCATAATTTAAACGAAAAAAATTATGGATAAAAAGCATATTGAAATAAATAATAGTAACTACAGGACACGTTAAAAAAATTTTGTTATCGATTAAATAAGATTTTTCAGAAAAAAACTCGTATTTCTGATGAATTAAATGGATAAGAGCGTGGTATTCACGGGAGCTATGGGCTTGACAACACCACAACTTTGTCAAAAATCACTTTCATGATTTAATTTTTTTTTGTTTTATTCCTGAGGAAGTTTATCAAAACCCTTGTGAAAATTGCGTGTCAAAATAATTCCGTTTCGATACAGTTAATTTTTTTCGATTGTCAGTTCGGTGACTTTTTCTGCGATTTCGGCAGCCATATGTATTATTTTTCATAAACAGAATTGAAATAACTATATAAACAAGCAGAAACTATATACATACATGATGGTATAATTACTAACTGTTTTATCATTTGTTAAAATTTTTCTTTAGTTCGACCTACAGAGGGGATAATACTACTCGCGGGAAAATTCAAATCAAAAACGAATAATTTTTGTTACGATCTAAATAATTTATGTATGACATGAGCGCTTAAGGCATGCTCATTTGGATTTTCCAAACTTTTATTTTATTCTATTACAAATTTAATTTCGCTAGGTTCTACTTTTGTTATTTAATTTACACTTCTTAGTTTACGTGGGAGAAATACCGGCCACTAACTAATATTTGAAACGATTCGCAAACCTGGAGATGTTTTACTAACGATTCCTCGGCGGAAGTCTCTGGCGAGACTCCCGCACGAGGGTGCGTTCTAACTAGAGGCTCAAAACCGAGGACTCAATATTAAAAAAAACTATTTAGCTGCGTGAGAGAAACCCGGTCACTAGCTAATTGGGCGATCCGCACACTTCGGGGTCAGCACGACGAGAGAGAGTTTATGCGAAGTTCTTTTGGGACTCGAATTGTCGGGCGTTTCCAAATTACTATTTGGGATAAAACAGTATCCAATTAACTGTCTATTTCCCTTAGATTCTACCTTCTCTTCCGAGTTTTCTAAAGATGTTCGCTTGAACTCCCTTCTTTAGGCCCAGAGGCATGGTTTGCCTCTCTCTCTTACTTATAGGCTATATATGTATACTTATGTGTTGGTGTACGTGCAAGTACATTTACATACACACAAATACATAGTTTCTTTAGTTAACTAAGTCCTTTATTTTATTATTAACTAATTTATTTATTGATAATAATATTCATTATCAATAATTAGTTATTATTCTTTAAGATTATTTAAATATTTTCTATTGTTCTAATTATTGTTTTTCACTAAAGGAATTATTTAAATTATTTATGTTATTATTATTATTTTTAAAATTTACTACTAACATTATTATTATTTTCGGATCTTCCTTAAATTATTTTATTTTATTTGTCTCTAGAATTTTATTTTATTTGAAACGTTAAAATTTCCAAAATCCTTGTAGATAATGCTAGTCAATACAGAGGGCAATAAAACTTCCATTTACTGATGTATTTAGGATTTTTAATCTCTAAAGAACTTGGATCTGTCTAATGACGGGAATTTTTTTAGATAGTCCAGGCGAGACACTTGATGAGTTTTCTCATTATTAGTGTCTCCTGTAAATTTTACTTCCTTAAAAATATATTTTAAAATTAATAAAAATTCGTATTATTTTATGACTTATGACAAATAAAAAAACGTTAATTTAAACACGACGTAACAGTAACATATTTTTGATCATTTTTAGATTTATTTTTCAATAATAAATTGTAATAAAAATTCTAGGTGTAAAAATTAAAAAAAAAAAACTCTAAAAGCAATTTTTTAAATATAAATTTATGAATGAAATAAAAAAATTTATTTGAGAAATTTATTTACTTCTTTTATCAACAAAAATAATCTCAAAATCAAAATAAAAATTGATAATCAATTTACTGATAAGTCTAGGACTAAAAATAAATAATCTTATGGCAATAAATCAATATTAAAGCTTATATAAATAAATATATGTACATTTATCGCGATACCATTTACCGAGATATCATAATTAGTTTTAAAATTACACAAATACATGAATATTAAAAAAAAAAATTTCTTATCGCCGATTAATAAACGGTATTCAAAGAATCGATTTGAATAATTACATGACGGAATTTAAAACTCGATAATATTTAACATAAATACGACAATAATTTCTTTGTTAACAAGACAATAATTACATTTTTACACTTAATATAAACTCCTTTGATATTATTCTTTTATTCCTCACACAAATAAATACCAGCCTCGCTTTAAATCTTTACATTAAAATTAAAATATACATATTTTAAAAAACTCTAGACTCAATATGCATAATTATAATCCATAGTTTTGTTTGGTAATGGAAGAAGACAACCCCTTTCTTCTTTTCAATTTACTATTCCGCGTATATTCTTATTAAGGACATTAATTATTAACAGTTATATTAGGGTGTTTTATTTGACACAATAGATCGGTATTAATTCAAATTTAAAGTCATTAATATTCCAGTGAGTACTGAGTAAATTCCGTTTTAGTCAAACATGATTCGTATATCGAATTGTCGAATGTCAGATCATTAATCTTACTCTCAATACTTCCATTTAATTTATTTGTCTACATACGTACAAGTACAATACGTAAAGAGTCATTAAAAACAAATAATAATAATAATAATAATAAAATTGAAAATTAACTCAATTAAATAAATAAACAGGTTATTTTAAATAATAAAAACAATAGCAAAATAATTTGATAAAACAAATCGATAATATAAAGGATAAAGTCATTAATCTTTAAAAGTAATTTAAGTTTACCGTGACGACATCAAAACTTCCCTCTGGCAATCTTTCTTCTCTTTTTATATGTATAAATGCCTTTCGAGAAGAGTCTATACTTAACCGTGTATTCGTCCACAACAGTTATCTTTTTCTCAAACATCAACCCCTCCAAGTTGTTGTTGAGCTTCGACTTGTCTTTTTTACCAGGCAAGTTAACCGCAAAACACTCGCTATATACACGATAATTAATGATCTCAGCGAATCATCTCCCGACAAGTGTTTTATCGCAGCTAAACCTAAATAAATAAATTCATTGGGAAAGTCTTTTTACCGTGTACACGAAAAAAAAAAAAAAATTATTTGAATCAATAAGTAAACGATCTATATTATTAAAAGAATAAGAAAAATTTTGTGTCCAGGATAGTCATATGATAAAATCAATTTTTTAAGTAACATTTAGTGTCATTGCAAAGGCCTCAATTTGAATTTGTACCTTTTCAAAGTTTCATATCATTCTCACCAATAGTTAATTTATGATGATAAGTATATTTAGGCTGCATTCGAAAATTCTCTATCTCTAGATAGATAATTAAGAAATGACCTTGTATCTTTTCAACTATTGACATTTTTAAAGATATAAGCTCATCCTGATGTTACACTCATC